TACCAATTTGAGAAACTGCATCCCTTCACTTATAAACTTCATCCCTTAGTCAATTTGGAAATCTCATTCCCTTTGACTTTGCAAATTGCATCCCTCGAAATCCCATCCCATAGTCAAATTGGAAATCTCAACTCAAATTGGAAATCTCATCCCATTGACTTGCAAAATTGTATCCCTTCGGCCAAACCATCGCCTCTTACTTGATCAGATGGAATTTTAACTTGGCTTCTTTAAAAGATATGGGATGTGAGATTCAAACCTGTGACTTTGCACATAATATTTCAAACTTCTACCATCTCGTCCGTACAGCCTATTAATTATCTTCTTGTTCCACTTGGTGTACTCCTTTCTTTTCATAGATGCTTGATCTTCAAGATAGCTTCATGCAAACTTCTAGTCACGTACTTTCTTCTTCGGGATTTCTTGAGGGATTTTCTCAAATTTCATACGCATACATCTTTCTCTTCTGTTTGCCATTTTCTCTTGACAAATTCTTGATTTTTGGCTTGATATCTTCTTCATCCATTTCCTCAACTAATGAATTTATTTTTCCCTTTCTTGGTCTAAGACTCGACTAGTCTAATAAAATAAAATTGGGGATCTACGAATTACAATATGGCTTATCAAAATCTATTACAATTTATTCCTAACAGCCTCTCTGGAAGGCATGTTTTGTGTTTTTCCTAGTTCTATATAAATCACGGCAGTTTTTGTCAACATTCCATACAAACCAAAATCTAGCCAACTTTGTAACTTTTACATACACTATACCTCTTTTGGCATCTGAAATTCCAACATGGACGTATTTGTTCATTTTACAAATATGTCAGCTATCAATTCTTATAATAGACAAATGAAACGTTATTTCGCCTATATTGTTAACAGGAAGAAAATATTGTATGCAATTGTAATACATACAATATCAAACCAATACGCATGTTTTGCAGCGCCATCATGGGTTAAATATTTACAAATGCTAGGCTCAAATTCGTTGGAGCCAACGTTTTTTCAAGATTGGCAAGGTGCCAAAAGATATTCGACGGAGATCCTACATCAAAGCCTACAAGTCATTATTTATGAATCACGTAATATTCAGTAACCTTTTATTTAATTACTTTTTTCATGATTAACTATAATTTTTTACTATTGTTTTCAGCTTGCAATTATCAAAAGCATTTGCCCGATATTACTGCATGCACTATCACATGATTTATTATTACAATTACGTCGCCAGTAACAATGGTAAGTATAACAATCTGATTTTGTTATTATGTGTTTTAGTACATTGATTACATTTCTATTTGATACATCTCTTTTTTTCCTAGAAAATTTCAAATTGCATGCATCATTATCTAATGCAACATTTTACTACAACGGCTATTTTGGGTTGATGGGGTAGGGACCCCGGCCCAAGAGATAGGGGCCCAAAGAAAATAGAAGTGGGCCAGCATCGAGAGGAGCCCAAAGAGCAGTCAGGTCGAGCCCAGGAATCGGCCGAGGCCTAAGCCCAGGAAAAGGACCCGGCTCGAGGAGCCGTTGAGGGCATTAAAGGGGTTCCTTTAAAAGAGAGCCGTTGAAGCATTGAAGACAGGGCCCGGTCGGGCTGTTACAAGCCTAGGAGAGCCGTTGGACGACCGAGTAATAGCGTCCAACGGCTCCATATCTTGATTAGCCTTGAAGTCGGCCATTAAGGGCCTTCAAGTCGGCAGAGGAGGAGCCACTATATAAAGGCTCCTCCATTCTTGTAAAAGGGGAGACATTTTCGGACACCCGGAAGAAGGGAGAATAACAAAGAATTTCCGAGCACTAACATTATCTCTGAGTTAGACATATATATTATTGAGAGGTGTATCCTCCGACCAAAGGTTGTGTTGGACCTCCTTGGGCCCGAAAACCCTAAAACCATCACTGGCGCCGTCTGTGGGGATTGAAACGAAGAGTCACGTGTCCTCTTGAGTGAGGCGAGTCCGAGGAACAACAGTCGAATCAAGAAAACTCCAGACATGGCGGGAAGCGAGGAACAGTCGAGCCGTCACGACAACGGACGGGAGGCCGACCTGAGAAGCCAGCTGAATAGGAGAAATGCTCGGAGCCAAGAAAACGAGACGACACCGCCGCCGACGCCGCAGATAAACCCGCAATTACCTCAGGTGCTGCTCACCCCGGAGCAGTTACGCGCAATCGGGCGCGCTTGCGCCGAAGCGAGCCTAGGAGTGAGAGAACAGTCCATCACTCGCCAGCCGCAACGCGAGTTGCAACCGCCTCAGAGGCCCGACAACCGGCAATTGAGCCGACGGGCTGAAAGCCAACCGGTACAATCCGTTCATTCCCGGCTAGGTCCCAGCGTTGGGCGTCGGTCGGTAAGGGAACGATTAGGCCGGAAGGAGCCCAGTCGTGCCCCGTTAGCCGCCCGCGACCGACAAGCTGCACGAGAGAACAGCCGAACCAAAAGAGCCAGGACTGAGACTCGTCGCGTGGAGCAACCTCCCCGCAACCCCGTCCAACCGGCTGAGTCTGAAGTCGGCGAAAGCACGGAATCCACGGGAAATCGCACCCGGGAGAGGGTCGAAGTGGCTAACCTAGTACAGGAGGTGCGAAATCTGAAAGAACGGATGGAGGGAAAAGCCAAATCCCCAGGACGTACGTTGTTGACCGCCTTACCCTTCTCAGACGAGGTTATGGCTTTTAAGATACCGAGTGCTTTCAAGTTCCCGGAACAAGCCACGTTCGATGGAACCGGCGATCCCCGCGAGCATTTGCTGAGCTATCAGGCCAAGATGCAGGTTTTGGGGGTACGAGACCCGGTCATGTGTCGTGCTTTCTTACCCACGTTGAAGGGGTCAGCACAAAGGTGGCTGGTGGCGCAGCCCTCAGGGTCGATTCACAACTTTGAAGAGCTGGCAGACCGCTTCATGAGCCATTACGCCGCTAATATTAAGCCACAAAAGGACCTAACTCACATGGGTGACATCCGTCAAGACGAAGGCGAATCTTTGAAAACCTATCTGGCCCGCTGGCAGAAAGAAATCCAGTCCATAGAAGAGGTCGAGGACCAGACGGCGCTCACCTTCTTCATCGAGTCGCTGCGGTCCGGCCAGCTGTACCGAGACCTGAGGGACAATCGGCCGGCCACCTACGCAGAAGTCATTCATATGGCCAACAAGAGGGCCAATACGGAGCAGGCTATGAAGTACAAGCGACAGCGCGAAGTCGGCGGATCTGCCAGCGGTAAGAGAACGCGAGCGGAAGCCAAAGAAAGGCGCCCGGACGTGGCTCGGTGACCCGAAGTTAGACGGCCGTACGACCGACCAGTGGTCCACGCCTATCGGCCGATTCCCGAGCGTCCGGTCCACGAGGTACAAGCGGTTGCCCCGCCTCCGCCTCCGCCGACCGACGATCGCGCGAAAAATGAAGAGATAGGTAAGAACGCTAAGTATTGTCGTTATCATAAATCTTATACCCACAGTACGGAGGAGTGCTTCTACCTGAAGAAGATCATGGAGGGCATCATCCAGCAAGGAACCCCGCCTCCTAACCAGTGGAGGCGGAGGCCGGGCAGTCGAGGGGATGAGGAACCCGTCGCCGTCGCCGTCGCCGAAAGCAGTCGAGGCAAACAGCCGATTCCCGAAGAGGAGGAGGCTCAGTGGCGCCAAAAACCGGTTATCAACATGATAGTCGGCGGGCCGGAAGGTGGTGATTCAGCGAACACCAGAAAAGCTTGGGCTCGGCAGTTGTACGTCGGGACAGTGTACGGGCGTGAGGAGAACTCCAAAAAGGTGTGTCGAGAGCCCATCGTGTTCACCGACAGAGACTTACCAACCAGAGAAATACCGCATCGAGATGCGTTGGTTATAGCCATGGACGTCAACGGCATCGTCGTTCGGCGGATCCTGGTGGACACCGGGAGCAGCGTCAACGTGCTATATCTAGAAACCTTCACCAAAATGGGGCTGACTCGAGAACAGCTGAACCCCGTCAAAACTCCCCTCGCCGGCTTCACAGGGGACTCGGTGGAGGCGGAAGGGTCGATCACACTCCCAGTGGAGATTGGCACGTACCCGGACGTACAGAAACTCAGCATGAAGTTTATTGTGGTAGACCTGGCCTGCTCGCATAACGCGATACTTGGCCGACTGGGTCTTGAGGATTTAGGAGCCTTGATCTCAATTGAGCATCTCTGCCTGAAATTCCGCACACCGAATGGAGTAGGCACGGTACGCTGTGACCGAAAGGTCGCCCGCGACTGCTATCTGCAAGCATGCAGAGGGATGGGCAAGCGCGAGATGCAGATCCATGAGATCACTGAGAGGCCCCCGAAGAAGACGATACTACCTCGCCCAGAGCCTGCTGTCGAGTTGGAGGAAGTCGAGATCGACTCTACATGGCCGGACCGACGGGTCCAAATTGGAGTCGGCCTCTCCGAGACATTGAAAAAAGAAATTGTAAAGGTGCTCCGGGAGCACCGGACGGTTTTCGCCTGGGGCCCAGAGGACATGCCTGGTGTCAACCGATCAATCATATCGCACAAACTCGCCGTAGATCCGGAGCACCGACCGGTCGTACAGAAGAAACGATACCTAGCCAACGACCGGAGGGAATTTGTGAAGGAGGAAGTTGGCACGCTACTAGCGGCCGGGCACATCCGCGAGGTTAAGTACCCGGAGTGGTTGGCCAATGTGGTCCTCGTACCCAAGCCCCCGGCATGGCGAATGTGCGTGGACTACACCGACCTTAATAAGGCTTGTCCGAAAGACCCGTTTCCCCTACCTCAGATCGACCAGTTAGTCGACGAAACGGCCGGGTCGGCGCTACTGAGTTTCATGGACGCCTTCAGAGGGTACCATCAAATATTTATGCACCCGGCGGATGAGGAGAAGACCGCCTTCCTGACACCGGACGGAGTCTACTGTTACCGAGTCATGCCCTTCGGACTTAAAAATGCCGGGGCTACGTACACCCGAATGGTCGCCCGGTTGTTCCAACATCTGCTTGGGAAATCGATGGCTGCGTACGTCGACGATATGCTCATCAAGAGCCGGGAGGAGGATAAGCATGCGAAGGACTTGGCCGACTGCTTCAAGGTAATGATGAAATACAACCTTCGGCTGAACCCCAAAAAGTGCGCGTTCGCCGTCCAAGGTGGCAAATTCTTGGGCTACATGGTCACCAAACGAGGCATCGAGCCTAATCCGGAAAAAGTACAGGCCATCATCGACATGCAGCCTCCTACAACCGTCAGGGACCTACAACGGCTGACTGGCCGATTGGCCGCCCTTAGCCGCTTCTTGAGCAAAGCGGTGGATAAGACCGTACCTTTCTTCGAAGCCATGAAGAAGAAGGAGGGATTCGCTTGGACTGCCGAATGCCAACAATCGTTCGAGGAGTTGAAACAGTACCTCTCAACGCCCCCAGTGCTGTCTACCCCCCAGGTGGGCGAGCCTTTATTCTTGTACCTCGCCGCCTCAGCCAAAGCAGTGAGTTCGGTGTTGGTCCGAGAGGAGGACCGAGTCCAGCACCCGGTTTATTACGTAAGTCGCTCGCTGAAGGCCGCTGAGACGCGGTACACCGTTCTGGAAAAAATTGTGTATGCATTGGTAGTCACCGTGCGCAAGCTGGCACCCTATTTCCAAGCCCATACCGTTCGAGTTTTGACAGACCAGCCGCTCGGAAGCGTGCTAAGAAACCCCTTGTCCTCCGGCCGACTTGTAAAGTGGGCCGTAGAGTTGACTCAGTATGGGATTGAGTACCAACCCCGGCCTTCCATTAAGGGTCAAGCCTTGGCCGACTTCCTGGTTGAATGCACGGCAAGTGAGGAAGAAAAAGAACACGCCTCGGAAAGCTGCCTAGCCGAGTGGTGGGAAATGCACGCGGACGGAGCATCGAGTCGACAGCACTGTGGAGGCGGTGTCATGCTCATCACTCCGGAAGGATTCCGGCTATATTACGCTCTGAGATACCGGTTCTCGACATCAAATAATGAGGCCGAGTACGAAGCGGTATTAAACGGCCTCCGACTCGCCAAGGCCCTGGGAGTCGAGCGGCTGCGAATCAAGACTGACTCCAGACTGGTAGTCGGACAGATCTCGGGTACGTGTGAAACTAAGAATGCGAGGATGGTACTATACAAAGAGCGTGCGGTCAAGATGTTAAAAGGGTTCGGGGCTTACGAGATAGAGTACATACCCCGCGCGGACAACATGGAAGCCGACCTATTGTCCAAAATTGCCCTGGAAGGGGTACCGGACCACCTGATAAAAATTTGCCAGAAGGAGGAGCTAAATCGGCCGAGTGTTGAAGAGGCACCACTGGAAGTCCAGCGAGTAGATATCGAGGAATGGGATCGAGGGAAAAATCCCGAAATGTTCTGGATAGAGGACATCCGGCGATTCATAGAAAAAGGCAAGTTACCGGAAGACCCGGGAGTCGCCGCGAGAGTTCGGCGGAAAGCCCCTTCCTTCCAGATCATCGGCGGACAGCTATACAAACAGTCGTTCGGAGGACCCTTACTAAAGTGCCTGCTTAGACCCGAGGCCGAGAAAATAATGGACGAAGCTCATAGAGGCATTTGTGCCGCGCACCAAGGCGCCCACATGCTCGCCCGGAAGTTAGTCGTCCAGGGGTATTATTGGCCGACCATGATGCGAGACTGCATCGAATGGATGTCCAGGTGCGGCGTCTGTCAAGCATTCGCCAGGAAAAACACCCGGCCGGCCACCTTTTATACACCGGTCACCACTGCTATCCCCTTCGCCAAGTGGGGAATAGACTTGTTGGGGCCATTGCCCGTCGCCCCGGGAGGTCTGAAGTTTTGTGTCGTGGCTATCGACTATTTCACCAAATGGGTCGAGGCAGAACCATTGGCTACCATCACTGAGTACCAATGTCGACGTTTTCTGTGGAAAAGGGTGATATGTCGCTTCGGCCTGCCCGAGCACATCGTCAGCGACAACGGGCGACAGTTTGACTGCCAGGCCTTCGCTGATTTCTGCCGCCGACACGGTATCAAGCATACCAAGGTCTCGGTGGTGTACCCACAAGCCAATGGGCAGGTCGAGAATGTGAATCGAACGTTGGTCGATGGGATCCGGAAGAAGCTCGAAGACATCCGGGGAAGTTGGGCGGACGAGCTTGACCGAGTCCTATGGGCTTATCGCACTACCCAGCGGCGAGCGACGGGGGAGAGTCCGTTCTCGCTCGCATACGGCTTCGAGGCCAAGGTTCCAGTCGAAGTAGTCGAGCCCACCCAGCGGGTTCGCACCTACTCGGATGCAGCGAACGAAGAGAATTTGCGAATCGAGAAAAATTTCCTAGAAGAAAGGAGGGAAGCCGCGAGTGCACGGATGGTCGAGTACCAGCGGGCGGTGAAAAGATATCGCGACCGGAGGACTCGCCCGCGAACCTTCCAGGTTGGCGACCTCGTGTTACGCGATCGACAGGCCAGTCAGCCCACCGAAGGGGGCAAGTTTGCGGTTAAGTGGGAGGGGCCATACCGTATCGCAGCGATGGTCCAAGCCGGAACCTATAAGTTAGAGACTATGGAAGGCAAGCTCATAGATCGCATATGGAATGTCACCCATTTGAAAAGGTTCTATCAGTAGAAAAGGATAGGCCGTGTACGTGCTCAAGGATTCCAAAAATCTAAATAAAGCACATGGGTTACAGTTAATCGTCCCAGGGACTCGGCAAGAAAAGATAGGAAACAAGGGCCTAGACCCTTAGACGTTTCCGAGAAAAAGCCTACAGGAGTCGCCTCGACTGAGGGACTCGGCGAGTATTAAGAGAAACGACGGGGCACTGACCCTAGACTGTTTCTGAGATAGAAAAAGCCTAATGGGTCGCCTCGACCGAGGGACTCGGCAAGAAGAGATAGGAAACAAGGGCCTAGACCCTTAGACGTTTCCGAGAAAAAGCCTACAGGAGTCGCCTCGACTGAGGGACTCGGCGAGTATTAAGAGAAACGACGGGGCACTGACCCTAGACTGTTTCTGAGATAGAAAAAGCCTAATGGGTCGCCTCGACCGAGGGACTCGGCAAGAAAAGATAGGAAACAAGGGCCCAGACCCTTAGACGTTTCCGAGAAAAAGCCTACAGGAGCCGCCTCGACTGAGGGACTCGGCGAGTATTAAGAGAAACGACGGGGCACTGACCCTAGACTGTTTCTAAGATAGAAAAAGCCTAATGGGTCGCCTCGACCGAGGGACTCGGCAAGAAGAGATAGGAAACAAGGGCCTAGACCCTTAGACGTTTCCGAGAAAAAGCCTACAGGAGTCGCCTCGACTGAGGGACTCGGCGAGTATTAAGAGAAACGACGGGGCACTGACCCTAGACTGTTTCTGAGATAGAAAAAGCCTAATGGGTCGCCTCGACCGAGGGACTCGGCAAGAAAAGATAGGAAACAAGGGCCCAGACCCTTAGACGTTTCCGAGAAAAAGCCTACAGGAGTCGCCTCGACTGAGGGACTCGGCGAGTATTAAGAGAAACGACGGGGCACTGACCCTAGACTGTTTCTTAGATAGAAAAAGCCTAATGGGTCGCCTCGACCGAGGGACTCGGCAAGAAGAGATAGGAAACAAGGGCCCAGACCCTTAGACGTTTCCGAGAAAAAGCCTACAGGAGTCGCCTCGACTGAGGGACTCGGCGAGTATTAAGAGAAACGACGGGGCACTGACCCTAGACTGTTTCTGAGAGAGAAAAGGCCTAATGGGTCGCCTCGACCGAGGGACTCGGCAAGAAGAGATAGGAAACAAGGGCCCAGACCCTTAGTCGTTTCCGTGAAAAAGCCAAAAGGAGTCGCCTCGACTGAGGGACTCGGCGAGTATATATAGAGACAACGGGGCACTGACCCTAAACTGTTTCTGAGATAGAAAAAGCCTAATGGGTCGCCTCGACCGAGGGACTCGGCAAGAAAAGATAGGAAACAAGGGCCCAGACCCTTAGACGTTTCCGAGGAAAAGCCTACAGGAGTCGCCTCGACTGAGGGACTCGGCGAGTATTGAGAGAAACGACGGGGCACTGACCTTAAACTGTTTCTGAGATAGAAAAAGCCTAATGGGTCGCCTCGACCGAGGGACTCGGCAAGAAAAGATAGGAAACAAGGGCCTAGTCCCTTAGACGTTTCCGAGGAAAAGCCTACAGGAGTCGCCTCGACTGAGGGACTCGGCGAGTATTGAGAGAAACGACGGGGCACTGACCCAAAATTGTTTCTGAGATAGAAAAGCCTAATGGGGTCGCCTCGACCAAGGGACTCGGCAAGAAAGAGTTAGGAAACAAGGGCCTGGACCCTTAGTCGTGCCTGCGGAAAAGCCTTGAAGAGTCGCCTCGACAGAAGGACTCGGTGAGCAGTTAAGAGAGACTAGGTTAAAGGACAAAGCGTCGAGCTCAAGATAATACGAAAAGGAAGAGAAAAGGGGAATTTCATTAAAAGAGGCCTGAAAAGGAGGCCAGCCTTTACAAAAGGGGGCTATCCCCAAACAGAACAGCCCTAAACTACGGGGGAGGGGGTGTCGACATCAATCCCTTCAACTTGGGCCCCTGCCGTTGGTCCAGTCAAGGGAACAGAAGAAGGGTCCTCGGCCTGAAGAGAGGACTCGGCGAGCTCAGGAGGTGTCGCTGAAGGAAGAGTCGCCGGATCAGAGGCTGCCGGAAGAGCTGCCGGATCCCCAATCGCCGACTGTCCTTCAGTCGCCAGAAGAGCATCAATCACGGGCTTGAGGCCCCAGCTCTCGGGAGTGAAAGAAGAGTCGCGGACCAGCAAGGCAGAATGGATCTCAGTCTGCGCCTCGCGAAAGTCGAGGCGATAGTCGCGCTCGCCCAAGTCCAAGAGGAACTCGTCACCATCCGACGTCGACAGCCACTCCTTAGCAATCTCTTTTTGGCGAGCCTCTATTGCCGCCTTCACCTCCGCCTCGAAGGCGGCCGACTTCTTGTACTCCTCAACAGAGGTCGCAGCAATCGTCGCCACCTTGTCTCGCTCCTCCTCCCACTGACGAGTAACCCTCAGCATCTCAGAGTTGTGCACCTCCACCACCTTGAGGTGCTTCGCCCGCTCTTCCGAAAAGGCCTCCTCCGTCTGACGCAGCTTGTTGGACAGAGACCGCATGTCGGTCAAATAGTTCTGCAGCCGCTTACTCATCTCCATCTGGAAGGTGAGGTTCTGTGGAACGGACACGAGTCAGGTAATGAAAGGAAAGGACGAAGGGAAGGTCAAGAGAGAAACACTTACACGGTACGATTGGCGCAGTGAGGCCTCGAGGATGTACCCGTCCCCCAGAGCATGAGTCGCCTCTACGTCCTTAGGTAGAAGGACGTTAGCACACCACTTACGGACAGAGGAGGTGCCCATCCAGATCTGGGCATCCTCCTCTACCTCATGGCACAGCCGGATCCTTTTGGGAGCCGACTCGTCAGTTTGAACAGCCGGGCGCTTAGAGCCGGAACTCTCTGTCTGAGGAGGAGGTGGCTGTCGAGTGGGCGACACCACTGGAGACGGAGTCAGATCCACCACGTTTTGAGGAGGGGGAGGAGTCGGCCTAGGAGCCGGAGACGGTAGGGAGGAAGAGGCAGCAGCAGTACCGGAAGAGCGTTGGATCAGCCGACGCCTCATCTTTTCGGCTCTGTCTGCCATCTCGGGAGTCGGTTCAACCGCCTCGTCGGAGCTGGAGGAGTCGGAGTCGTATGGACCTGTAAAAAGGAAAGAGAAAGCATGAGGTGTTCCGATTCGGAATATGGCGAGATAGGAAAAGAATGAGGAGTAACGAAGACTACCTACGGTGGTCGCACCCTCCGGTAGCAAGCCACGCTTAGCCATGGCCCGGACTCGGGACCAGTACTTGACGGAGTACGGCCCGAAGCCCTTCAAGAACTCGCCGCCCAAGACCGCATCATCGGAGGGAACGGCACGTCGAGGACAAGGCTTGAACAGAGCGGCCGGCCACAGGGTCGGAAAAGTAAAAGAAGAAAGGGCAGGGCGAACGAAGAAATAAAGGAGCTTCCAATCCTTGATGGAATCGGACAGCCCCTCGAAAAGCTGTCGCCCCGAGCGAGCGGCGACTTGAACAAAGCCCGGCGAGTGCGAGCCAACCTTGTTTACGGTAAAAAGATACCGGAATAGGTCGAGGTCCGGCTCGCACAACCACCAGTGGCAGAGATTGATGAAGCAAGTAAGGAGTCGGTGAGAATTGGGCACTAATTGGCCCGGAACCAAGTTATAATGGCGGTAAAAAAGAGAGAGAAAAGGACATGGAGGAACTCGGAAGCCAAAGGCAACCGAGTGAAGGTGAATACCGACACAACCCTCGGGTGGGTCGTAAATTTGCCGGCCCTCCGGGCAAGGACTACGGCCGAGGGCCCAAGAAGGTACTGGGCCATCTCCAGATCCACCGCAGTAGCGACGGACGGCGGCCCGGAGGGGCGGACGATTGGATCGAACTTGCCCCGCGGCCGTATAACGCCACCCGGCAGAGCCGCCACCGTCGTTAGAGGAGCGGGGCTCAGCGGAGTAACCGCCCCCGAAGAAGAGGGGGTCGGAGGAAGAGAAGATGTCGATGGAACGTCCGAGGGAAGTTCCATACGACGTAGGGAAGACGTCAATGGAACGTCCGCCGGAAGTTGCATACGACGAAGAGGAGAAGAGGAAGATGAAGAAGGAGAAGAAGAAGAGGGAGAGGTCGCCTCGGTGTTGTCAACCGAGTAACGACGAGAAGAAGAAGAATGTGAGGAAGAAGACATTACCTAGGTCAGGAAGGAAATTGGAGGAGGAACAGAGTGGCCGGAGAAGCTCGAAGTTGAAGCTGAAAAGGAAGACTGGAGAAGAGAATGGAAAGAGAGACGAAGTGGCTATTTGAAGGGTAGGAATTTCAAAGGGCGGCCACGTGTCACCTTCTCGTTGGAGGGGCCGGAGGTGACGAGACGTGAAGGGACGCCGCATTTAATGCCTCAAAAGGCGGGGCGACGGTTCAGGTCTAGGGTTAGCCCACAGACGGCGCGTCTCCCCTAGGCTAGGGTCGAATGTCACGTGACCCGGCCTGCTAAGCCGGAAGCCCGTAGTGGGCCATGGCCTCTGAGCCCACGAGATACGAGCTGGAAGCTTCTAAAAGCAACCCGGTAGAACCCGGCTCATCAAATGATATCGGCCGAGCTCACGAAGAAATTCCGGTCGCGGGGTCGGCGATCAGACTCGGCGACTCCCTCGGCAGGAGGATCTCGCCATAGCAAGACTAGGGGTCAGTCTCATAGATCCGAGGTCGGGCGACAAAATAGTAAGAAATTGCGGGGTCGGATAGAAAAGCACACTGTTTATTTAAATCAATACGAAGATTACAAGGCCCAGAACTCGGCCGGTGCAAACTACAAGAGAAAAACAGAGTCATGGCTTGGCTTCCTTCTCTGTCGACGAGCGGGCAGCCGGAGGACCCTCTAGAAAGTATTGGGGGCGGAATGGTAGAGGACTCGGCTCAGGCTCTGGCGTCTCGTCCAGATACACGGCCGGCTTCCCATCGTCAATCATTTGTAAAGGCCTCTCCAAAGCGCTCGGCGACAAGGCAACGCCAAAAAGCGGAGGAACCTCCCACACCTCTTCCTCCTCAGGAGCAGGATTCCCGACCTCTGGT